CTGGGGGTTGTTGTGGCCCAAGGGCAGCCCCCGGCATTTGCCCTCAGTGAAACTCCCCCAGTTGGGCTCAGCCCATGGCTCCAGCCTGGCCAGGTCTCCCTGCAGAGCCTCCCTACCCTCAAGCAGATCAATGCTTAACGTTTGTTCAAGCTTCACTTTCTGTGAAGATGTCAAGCTTTGAATTGCAACCAGGTGAAATTTCAGCAAACGTTGTGACAAGGCAGCTCCTCTCCTGCAAACTGCGAGCTGCCCTCAGACACCTCCTCAGCCCTCAGGGTTGTGTGGGCACTGTAGTTCTGTGTACAGAGGTGTGTTTAAAACAGCTGTAAGTCATTCTTCCAGCAATCACTGAAATATGCTAATCCACTGAAATTAATGTAAACATCTTAATGATGTGTTTATCTCCTCTAGTGAGGAGGCTTGAAAGTTTTAAGCCTGGAAAACCTTCCTGGCAAAATGAGGTTGTAGCTACCAGCTATTGACAAGGTTTTCCGTGTGGGCCTACTGTGTGTTGGGTTTGTTCATTGATGTTTCCAGTGGGTGATTCCAGGGGAAAAGTGTTCTTCTGCCTTCCCTCCCCATGCAGAAAGGATGTCTGGTAATTAGTAATGAAACAGAAAAAAAAAAAAGGTCTTCTGCTTTATTTTTAGATGCTGGCTGTGAGTAACGTTACCGTGCATCACCCGCTTATCACTGCCTTGGATCTTCAGGAGGCAAACAGGCAGCACAGAACGGACTCGAGAGCCAATATTGTACATGGTAAAGCTCAGCTCCATCCCCAGATGTTCCTTAGGAGCACGGAATGTGTCCAATCCCTTCCTGAAATTTTCCTGGTGCTGGAGATGGTGTAGAGGGCCGTGTCCCCCCGTTGGCAGGAGCCCTGGGGGGATTCTTCCACGCTGGAGTTTTCTCTGATAAGCGATTTGGAACCTGTGCAAACAGGGAGAAGAAAGAAATTGCTCCTGCTGATGATACTCGGTGTGAGTATCCTTACAGGAGGAACTGCTTCCCTGGGCAGGAAGAGCTGACTGAGCCCCGGGCTGATTTATGGCTCCCACATTTGTCAGAGTCTCCTCAGGCCCAGGGACTGTCACTTCTGTAGCTCTGAGTAGTGAACAACCTCCCCCTGCTCACTCCATGACAGCAGCACGGAGAGTGTCTTGGTGCTGCTGAAAAATTACCCGTCGTGCTGTAAAACTGGCTCCTCTTTATACTGAAATATCTTGCTTTTTGATGGAAGTGGCCCATTTCCTAACACTCCTGCTTCAAATATCTGGAAAACAAACATTTGCTTCTCTAGCCCCTCCAATTCTGAATTTTTCTTTTACATTATGAAGATCAGTAACACAAATAGGTGAGGCCTACAGTGTGTAAAAATAGAGGAATAAAAATAGTATGTGAGCTGCTTGCCGCCTTGATATGCTGGAGAGAAATATTTAGAGCTCTTGTCTTTCCCTCTAGGTTTGTCTGTCCTGGAAATCTGCCTAATTATAGCTATGAAACACTTAAACGATGTTTATGAAGGAGAACCATTTAACTTCCAGATGGTTTACAACGGTGAGAGAAATACACCAACTTTACAAACCCTCAGTTTTTTACTTTCCCTGAACTAACTTTTTTTATTTCCCCCCCCTATTCCTGTTACAGAATTCCAGAAGTTCATACAAAGGAAGGCACATTCTATGTACAACTTTGAAAAGCCAGTTGTCATGAAGGTGAGTCTGAAAGGTTATTTTCTTTTTTTTTTTTTTTTTTTTCCCCTGGTGCACAGATTCAAGTAGTCACGTGCAGCCCTAGAACCAAGGCTGAAAGCTGAATCAAAACCCAATATTTTGGTTTTGAAACAGATGCTTGCTGGGGGCTCTGTTGCAGGACAGAGTCATTCCCAGTCGGTTACATGTGTTGGATTTTAAATGCTTTTTTTTTATTAAGAAAAGCGTTGGTAAAATAGAGCTGGCATTTAATATCTGTCTGCCTTTGACAGGTTTCTGTCAAAACAGCATCTTGGGTCATTCAAAATGAGCAACACAGCCCGGAGTGATGTGATATTCCGTCTCCTAAATAATATTTTTCTTTCATTTTTAAGGCGTTTGAACACTTAATACAACTGGAATTAGTAAAACCAATCGAAAGACCGTCTGTCCGTGCCCAGAGGGAGTATCTCCTCATGAATCTGCTCCTGGACAACAACCAGATCATGGACGCGCTGCAGGCCTATCCCAACTGCCCCACGGACGTGAAGCAGTGGGCAGCCTCCTCGCTCAGCTGGCTCTGACCTGCGGCCATCGCTTCTGCGCTCCCAGCCATGCAGCTTTTTTCCTCCAGGTTAATAAATTTTTGGAAGCAGCTTGTCTGGCTGACGGGCGGGGACTGTTGGGTTTTAAGAGCAGCTCTAGTGCTGTCATCATCTTGCAGCCATTGTGAGTAACTCTGCTGTGGTAGCAGGGTGCTGGAGCACAAATCCTTCTAACACAGTTCAAAGCTTGTACTTCACATACTTTTCCCTGCCCAAATTTGACTTGAAGAAAATTTTCTTAATTAAGCCTTTAATCACAACTAGCTTCAGCAGGGAAGGAGGAGGGGTGAGGCAGACACCCCTTGAGGCTGTGTGGCAGAACTATGGTCCATTTTGGGGTGAGTTAGGGTCGGTTTGGTCCTGTGATGTGAAGAGGTTATGTTTCATGGAGCAGGAGGCTTGATGGCTTCCTCCGTCCTGAGCAAAGTGGCCTCACTCTTCCCTTGAAGCCCTGATTAGGTGATTTTTTTAGGAGCCCTGAGGCTTCAGTCTGTCAGAACGCTGAGGAAACTTCATCTCCTGCTTGGCCCCTGGGTTCCCACAGAGCCCTTGTTTTCAGGCAAAGGCGTGTTGATTTGGGAGAGGTGATACCTCCCCAGCCTGTCAGAGCTCTGGGCTGGAAGGAACCACCTTCAACCCCCCCATCTAACAGAAATAAGGTGAAACTCTGCTCTACAGCAGGACTCACAGCTCTGGCTTCAGTCCTGCATCCTAGTTATGCTGGCTGGAAAAAAACCTCACTTTGAACAGAATAATGGTTCCATCATCTCTGTGTCACATCCATGTTTTTAGAAGGGAGAAAAGTGCCAGGCTTTGAATTTCAGGTGAAGGACAAGAGCTCATCACCTCCTTGGGGGTCAAAAACCCCAGCACTGAGCAGTAACCCTACACCAGGGGAGAGTGTTCCATCAGAAATGCTGAGTTGATGCAGATCCTGCCTTTACTTCCCAACCAGATCTAAACTGCAAGGTCTGTTTCTTTCTTTTTTTTTTTTACCACAAAACTTACCCTGCAGCCAGAGAATTGTTGCCACACATCTCTTGTCCCACCCTGTTACACTTTGAAAAAAGGCATATGCAAGTCAGAGTAGTCACATTTTTTATTTTAACTTTCTGGGGGAATAGGGGAGAAAGAGTATACATTTTTTTATTTGTACAATATTTAACAATCACTTTATTGAGGGCGAGGGGGTTGGTTTGTTTTCTAGTACTTGCAGAAAAACAGCAAGTACCTTTTGACAGTAGTACAACAACCTGTGCCCAAAACACTGACAGATACAAAGAGTAAAGGTAAAATAATTGCTTACCAAAATCTTGAGAGGTAACGAATAATGTATGGACTGAAACGGCATTAAAAAAATAAAAGAAAAAAAAAGTACTGCTGGTTGAGTATCTGAGGTAAATGATGTTCCATCGAGGATGCTACTTGAATCGTTTTGCCCACAGATGCAGAGTGCAGCTTTCTGCATTTTGTACCAAGTGTTCCTAATGGTTTTTGTTTTTTTTAAAAAAAGCTTAAAAAATAGAAGCTGGAAAAAGAGCAAAGTGGTGACCCGACTTCTTCTGTCAACTGCTACGAGGAAGAGGAAAGGGTTAGTACTGTCTGGTTACAGCTTAGGGTGCACACCACCAGTTGGTACTTGATGTTTTAAGACCTTGCCTAAAAGAAGGGGGACAGGGGGGACTTTTACTCCCACTTCAACAATTAGCTACGGCACCACCCAGGAAAGGCCTCACCCTCAGGGGCGACACTGGAAGGGACACTGGGTGCTGCCTGCTGGGAAAAAAAACAGCAAATCTCCCCCCCTGCCCCCTGCATCGCTCTGACCCAATCCTGCCCAGTGGTGCCAACTCAGGCAGCTTTGGGCTCAGCACATTTAACACTCTGGAAGGGAAACACAGCCCAAGGAGAAGCACCGAACCACCCCAGCCCTGGGGACATGAATTTCACCAATGAAAAAGCATTTACATTGCGAACATGCTTTTCAGTGACGTAAATTACGCTGTTATAAAGCAGGAAAACTAAGAGTGGTACAATATTTAAATAACTGGAGCTCCCCCCAGGTGGATTTAAAATACAGAGAGAGAGTCTCGGTTTCACTGAGGCCAGGCTCAGCACCATCTGCAAGGCCCCAGACCCCACTGAAATTTAAATTTATTTACACATCTTATACATGACCAATTTTTGCATCAGATCTTGAGTAACTCCTTAGGAACCCGACTGTATTTACACCAGTTTTGCTAGGGAAGGGGTTACAACTCCTGAAGCACGCATGGATGGGTGTTTTGTTCAGAACTCGGCAGCGACGTGTGCGTAAAGTCACATCCCTGGGTTTAAAAACAGAAGCCAAATGAAAGCATCACATCAAAAATACAGCCACAAACTCCAGTTCTTCCTCTTTACAGCCCCTCGCTGCCAGCCCTTCCCTCCCCACCCCAGCAAGAACACGCTGCCCTCGGTCTGGTTCTCCATGAGGTCTCTCACTGTTCCCAGAGATGGAGGAGTTGGTTTACATGTAAAACCACGAGAATCTTGTGGCTGTCCAGAGCAGCTTTGAAGGTAACATTCACAGCGAGGCCCTGACTGCACCAGGAAAAGCTTCTTCTGAGACACGGAACACAGGGTGGAAAAACAGAGAAAACAACAGAAGACGCAGCATGCTCCTGGTGGTTCTGTACTGGAGAGGGTTGGAAAATTTGGTTCTGGGGGAAGGGATCAGCAAATGAACACACTGGAACTACTACTGAGAAGCACTTTGGCACCTACCTACCAGTCACTTGTAGCTGGAGTCTAAGGCATGACTCCCTGAACTCAGAAAGAATGTTGTGAAAGCAGTTTCAAAATGGTTTTCCTCTTTTTGTGAGTCTGGGCTATGGACATTGGTATTCGTTACCTCTGAACAGTCCTTGCATATTTTCAAAGTTGTAAGCGTAACTAAATTATCCCTGAAATTTGTCATCTGAAATCTGTGGCTAGAATTTTCCGTTCTGTTCTAGGAGGAACCTGCGTGGCGCAGCCATTAAGGAGGACTCTGACAGGATGGCACCAAGCTTTAAGTCGAGGGAAGTTGCAGATCTCCAAGCAGAGAGCGAGGAATTGGGGGTAACTGAGCTTCCTGAGGTGATCCTGAAACAGTGATACAGAACCCACTGCATCATCCTGTTTAGTGAAACAGAGAACACGCTAGGCAGACCTGGTCACAAACATAAATAGGAAAAAAGACTTCTTTGAAAAAAAGAACAAGAATTCAGAGCTTTCCAGTGTCACAGCTCACAGAAAAATTAAAAAAAAGTCATGCTTAAAGTTCTCAAATATTCCTCAGACACAGCAAACCTAAATAGTATTCAGTTAAATAAATGTATGAGATATTCTGGAAAATGGAGGAAAGAGAAAAGCTTTAAACTAAAACAGGAAGGAAAATTTTGTTTCAATAAACAGCACTTTTTTTTTTTTTATACACAACAAGCTAGTACAAGAAAAGGCTAAAAACACTGCTTTAGGAATGGCCATTTACTGTTGGCATGAAGCGTAGCTTACCCTTTTTAAATAACACAGTGAATTTGAAATACATCATTTACAAAACATGGATCGATTTATTATTCCAATTTCATTAGTGTTGTCAATCTCATAATTTAGCGAGGTGGAACTGAGGTATACCTTGTTGAGGGAGGTTAAGTAATACTTGGAAGCCTCTTTACTATATCCCACTTGATTACTTTTGTTTATGTACACTGAACAGCAGCACACTAAACATTCACAAGCTGTGTCATATTGGCATTACAATAGTCATTTTTATAAACAACAGCAAATGCAATAAAAACAAGTTACCCTTTTTTTTTTTAAATCTGAAATGAAATGTTTGATTTAAAAAAAATAACAGTAGTTCATTTAAGGAATTAGTCTCTTCTGACAGGTATTAAGAAATCTGATGTCAGTTTTTAAAACGCTCGATTAGCCTGGTACAGGTCCGTATTCTTCATGTAAAAGTTCCTTAACAGCACATTATCGTTTCTCAGTCCTTCGGGTGGAAGCAGGGAATGCAAAAAGTCTCACGGATCCATGGTGGGGAGGAGGAAGGGGAGGAAGAAAGGAAAAAAAATACCAACCAACCAAACCATCCCTCTTGGTGTCGTTCCGCAGAGACTTACCGCTCCTCCTTCCCCCCAGAACCCAGCGACGCCGCGGCCGCGGGAGCAGCTCCAGTGCAGAGTCCTTGGCGGTCAGCGCCGTGACCAGTGCAACTATCATAGACTGGATTCTTTGGGAGGAAAGTCAACGTTTGTCACCATTGTGACCACAGTCACGATATCCTCTGTCGTGATAATGTTAGTTAGTTTTTGCATCTGAATAATCCGTTCTTCTACACAGCCCGCAGACAGCCTGGCCTCCGCGTCGTGATCCCAGCACTCCTCGATGGTTTCGCAGAGCATCGCCATTCCCTGCCAACACCAAGCCAAGGGAGAAAGAAGGGGCACAGAGTCAGCAGCAAGCAGTGGCCAGGGTGGCAATTCTCAGAGAATCTGCCGGATTTTAACCAATTTTAAGGCCGTGTGCGATTTGGAGCCCGGTATGTCTGGTGGGTTTGGCGCTGTGTTAGCAGCCAGGGAACCCCCCTCGCCCTGCAGCGCCGGAGGCTGCTGGGAGCCACCGGGGGATTCTCAAAGATCTCACTTTGAAAGGGGTCAGGTCCTCCAGCAATCACTGGAAACTTCAATGGAAAAAATATCAAACAGCACAACAGGGGGTTTGTAACTGACAGGAGTTAACTCCTCTCCACAGTAACACTCAGCTAATACAGCAATATGCTAATGCCAGGGACCAGATGGTAACACACCCTCATTTTTCTTGCAGACAGACACTGTCATCTATTGTTCCTAACAACCTCTTTTTTTAAAAAAAATACACCCCAAAAAAACAGAAAAACCACACAACGAAACAAACACTGCTCAGGAGAAGCAGCGGCGTGACTGCAAGCCTCTAGCCATAAAGCAGCCCAGAAAAGCAGGCTCTTCTCCTCACCAATCCCAGAAATTCCTCACACACACTGCTTACCCTATGTTATTACATTCACTTTGTAGCATTCCTGTAATAAAGCAAAACTACTATTTCTTAAAAATATATTTTTAACAGGTGCATTCAAAAGTAACTCTCAAGAATCTCTCATTTCACCAAAAAAAGTGAAAATAACTTCCAAATCACTCAAGATGAGAATATTTTAAGAACATTAGTTTACAGTCCATTTAATTCTCATTAGAATTATTAAATTCTTCCCTAAAGTATTACAAACACAACAAAGGATTAACAAAATTTGAAATTCCAATTGTGATGGAATTTTGAAGAACGTGGTTGTGTAACTACTTACAGAATGTTTTTGCCAACACTCTCTTAAAACAGGTCTCTTCTTTTTATGAACTACAACTTCCTGCATGTCTTCAAGGGAGGGATGCTGGCCAATTTCTTCTTCAAATGGCAACATGTACTCATCTACTGGGCCTAGAGATAAAAAAAAGTGAAACCGTTAATTTTGCTTTCCAAAAAAAAAAAAAGAAGAAACCCTAAGACTGAGGACTACATTTTGAAGACACAAATCAGAATGTTCCAGAGCAGTTTACCTCCTGTTGCCATTAAAACTCAGCCTAGGCCAGGGGGAAGCAAGCACTGACCCAGACCTTAATAAAGCGGCACTACAGGCCTGGGGAGGAGTGGCTGGAGAGCTGCCGGTCAGAGAGGGACTGGGGGGGGGAGAATGAGCCAGAGTGTGCCCAGGGGGCCAAGGAGGGCAACGGCATCCTGGCTGGTGTCAGCACTGGCGTGGCCAGCAGGG